TCATGCTGTGGTTGTCCAGCAGCTGAATAGCAGCTGAATTCAGGCACAAGGGGTGAAAGAGAATTGCAATCATTAACTTCTTCAGCCCTCCTACGGCCATTCCCATTCATAATTCAGAGCCCTCAGAGCAGGACTGTAGGGGGATTTATCATCTCGTTATCTTCAGTGAGTGTTACTTTAAACGTAGTGGCTGGAAGGACTTTTACTGAGGGCTAAATTCCTGAACTTGCCTCTCCCAAACCTTGGTTAAGCTCTTTCTGCTATGATCATAATTTAGCAGCCTAGTTAAGAATTAGCACAATCTTCCTTCAGTTCCTAAATCCAAGCAGAGGTATTATCAAAACAGCTATTTGAAAAACACAATCTACTGGCGGGCTGCATCAGATGGTGCAGTCAGGGACCTCTGTGAGGCACAGCCCCAGTCATAGCATCATGGCTACTGATGAATCCAGTCTCTGCACGTTTTGTTAGAATGTGTTAAATTCTGCCATTTAATAACTCATAGCAATTAACCAATTGACTGCACAGTACTGTTTCTATCCATGGACTAACAAATAAACAAACTGTGTTCTGCCCAGGTGCAATAAACTTTGAATCGTAATTACTTTTAATTCACTTCAATTCATGTATAAATGATGATTAACAGCTTCTGCAGATGTTTTACCTTTTACTTGCTCCTTCTGGGCAGGGATTTGAGAGTGTTTCACCTCTTCCAGGCTTAGTCAGGCTGATTCTCTGCTTTTTATGCCGTTTCCATTTTGTTTGACAGGACAGGATTTTCTGTTCTTTGATGACCTAATTTGGGAATAGATACCTGAGAGAAAACTAGATGTTTCTAGTCAGCTAGACACAGTGTGAAATGGAAGAAATGTTACTTGTACCTTACAGATTAAAACTGATCATCTTCATTGCTCAGTGTATCAATCAAAGCTCCCACACTTTGACCCCAATAGTGATTGGACTGCCTGAACACACTTATGTGGAAATTCCTGGCAGGATGTAAAAATTTTGCCAGATGTGATTCAAAAAAATATCTTCCCCTCCATTTTCAGGAAGGTAAAAACATTTTAGTAATGTCTATTACAGTGTTGGAAAGATCCTGTATAATCCTGTATAATCTGATCAAAAACACCACTGAAGACTGGTAAAATGTCACTACTGACAAATACATCAATTTAAATTTAATTACAAAAATTTTAATGTAATTACCATGTTAGCCTTAAACTTTAGGTGACCCGTTATCCATTTGACACTCAAACTGATATGTCGTTAGCTTGTGAATTGAAAGCATGTTTTACTGTTAATTGCTCCTTACTTTTACGATAACACAATGTTCCACTATACCTCAAAACCTAGGTAAAGGTAAATCTTAAGAGAATGATGACTATTATGTGTGACTTCAGATAAGAGCCAATATTAATCTCATTTATGTGACTATATAAAGTATGGTTGTCATACCACATGTATGTCTATGTGCATTTGAATTGATAAGATTTACTGTATGGAAGGTGCTTACTTTGTGCCAGCTCCTGATCTTACCTAGCTTTTCTCTGAGCTTTTTTAAATCACTAAAATAGAACAAAGAAAACCAGCCAAAAGGGGGTAGTTTCATAAAATGAATGGGCTTAGAGACGGATCTGGTGAGTGCCAAAGTTAGTTCAAGTATGGAGCAGAGCCTTAGAGCTGGCAATGAGGGCACAGGGAGAAAGAATTGGCAATGGTGGACTGAGAGTGAGATCTCACCTTTTTAGCAACAGTAAGATGCTGGATGGCATCAAACTGTCACCCAAAATGTGAGCAAAGTTTCAACCAGGTGCAAAAGAAAATGTCACTTCACAGGTTAATGGCTTGTTAATTTAGTTGAGTACTGTGGTAGTTATTAGTCCAGAGAGTCCAGAGAGAAGAGGGTTAACCACAGAATTAAAAAAATCCTCTGCTCTTGAAATTTTAATGGATTTTTTTTTTATCTCTCTCTTCTTTTTTTTTTTTTTCCTGCCTCACTACAGCTCATCCATTATACTCTGGCTACAGTCTGCATTGTGACTGACTGAGACAGACCATGAAAATGCTATAATCAGCTAACAGAATCACAAGACTGGACCACCGTCACAAATGGATACAAGCTTGGGATTTATATTTAGCCATAGTGACAGTGCAGTTTGCAATTTAGGGTGGGCATGCCTGATCCATCTTTCAATGAGCTAATCCTCCTAATGGAAAATTTCTAGTCACTGCAACACTGCACTTGGTACAAGGTCATTTACTTTTTGCCATCATGGTAAGACTGTTTCCACTGTACCAGCAGTGTATGTTTATGCAGATTACTTTGTAGACACATCCACCATCTACTTATGAATCCTATTTTTCTGTTGTGAACACGGGATTATGGGCTAACCTTTATGCATGGCTAGCAAAATGCAAACCTTTTAGAAAGAAATGGAGAGTGTAACAGTTAAGAACTCATTGCATAGCAAGAATGTGACACCTAGTGGACAGACAACATTAAGGAAATGTGACGGTCCCATCAAGGAATATTGACATTAAACGACCCTATCCAGTAAAGCAATTAATTTGATACTAGAAAAGATTAAGCTTGAATGACTCTTTGCACGGGGCCAAAATAAGTGGATAATGGTAACTCCCCTCTCAAAGCTCAGTGGAAGTGGACACTGGCAACATGCAAAACACATGAAAAAAGTATGTTTAAAATACCCTTTTTGTTAAATCCATGTCTCTGTTATTGCCATGTTATCTCTTCAGGAAGTGGGAGTTTTCACAGCTGGAGATACTCAGTGGTGAATAACTATGCAGTTAGGCCACTGAGAGCTGGACAAGACTGAGACACAGTTTAAGAAACCGGACTAATACATTGTGCCCAAACTCTCTGACACAGGCTGTGCCTGTCTGCTGCTCCCCGCTGCTGTTGGAGTACCTGAATTTCAAGTATTCACGTACCTCCATTTTCCAGGGTGCCCTAGTCCCTCACTGCTTTGTTGGCTATAAATAATAGCAAAACTCATCACCAGAAACTGCTATTTTATACTGGCTACAGAATAGAAACCAAATTTTTCACTGTAAAATTCACTGTAAACTTTACTTTTACAAACTTTAAATCTGTATGTATTTCCAAATACGCTGAAAAGTGCATGTCAGATGCTAGAGGACGCATAAAGCATACTCTATGGCAGTTGTGTTCTGTATGAGGTGCATTGGCTTTAAAAAAACTCCATCACTGAGGGATTTTCCCCTGCAGTCAGTCCCCAACTCCAGTGGATAAGCCAGAATGAAGTTGCCTTGGGGCCAGCTGGTTTGCACCAGTCTCATCTTACCTAGTAAGCCGTTACGAATCCACTCCTAATAGCTCAGAGCTATTTGCTGTTAGGCAATGTGTTCTGCACCTACGTGGCATAAACCACAGAGGCAAACACTGTGTGACTCCCAGCCGGTGCCTTTCACACTGCGAGGGATGGTTTCTGTGATCATTCTAGATCTGTATGCGCTGTTCACATCTGTGGGTTGACCTAATTTGCAAGAAACACTGCATCCTGGTTTGAGGTAGAATGGAACCAATTTTCTTTTCAGTAATTCTACTTTTCAGTTAAGTCTATTCTGACTAACAGCACTCCATGAAATTGACAGCAAATTTTCTAGACAATGTCTGCTTCTGGCAGTGATAAGGCCTGATGTTTATAGTTAACGCTAAGGAATGGTACACAGAGAGGTTCTTGCTTATACTTATTGCTATAACAACCAAGGTCAGCTAACTTTGTTATGTACCAAGTGGAAAACTGTAAAGGGGTTGCACCTGGGCAGTGATAAGGCCTGATGTTTATAGTTAACGCTAAGGAATGGTACACAGAGAGGTTCTTGCTTATACTTATTGCTATAACAACCAAGGTCAGCTAACTTTGTTATGTACCAAGTGGAAAACTGTAAAGGGGTTGCACCTGCAGGGAGGAGCGGACAGGACAGATGACCCAAAACTCACCAATGGGGTATTCCATCCCATCTGCATCATGCTCAACAGAAAAGCTGAGGGATCAAAGGGGTCAGCTTCTTTCTTCAATGGCCAGTGTCTGAGCAGGACTCTGTCTGTTCCCCTGCCTTTGATCCGGATCCGTGTGTCCTTGAATCCAGATCCAGTTCCTGCCCATCACTGAGCCCAGTCTGGGATTTTCCCAGTGCTTGCCGGTGACATCATCATCATCCTGGCTGCTTGATACTACTTTTGTATATATTTAGTATATTTCATTATTTTCTTATTGAAATTCTTTTTTTAATTAATATTTCACTAAAGTAGTTTTAGTTTCTTTTCAACTCCTAAGTCTCTCTCCCTCTTATTCTCTCTCTTCTTTTGGGAAAAACAGCATCTGTTGTTTGTTTAATGGCCAGCCCAGCCTAAAGCAGGACACGCTGCAGGCCCCAGTATCACCCAAAACAAAAAGTATTTGGAGAACCTAGTTTACAAGAAGTTCCACAAACCCAGGAGGGGGATCGTGCTGTGCCAGCCGGCCTCTTCCTCCACCGCCCCTGCTCTGCAGTCACCCTTTGCTCTTCTCTGCTACAAATGGGTGTCTGGAGTTACATTCTCTACAAAAATCTTGGCATTGAAATGCAAAAACATCCTCTTTCACCTGTGCAAAACGATGTTTAGAAATAAAACTAATCCCGTTAGAAGCACAGGGCTTATAGCTCCAAGAGGGAGATTTGGCCTGTCAGGAGACGGGAAGGGAAGGCACCAAAAAAACCACAAAGAGGATGAAGCGAGAGCTCATGGTCCACACCAGTGCTGATAAAACACGGTAATAAAAGCATTTTGAAAGCATTATAGCGCAAGAAACCCACAGCCACCGCCCGCCCCGTCCAACGGTCGGAACCTCGCCTCAGCGCTCCCCCGCTTGCCCCGTGGGCACGCGAACGGGGCGTGGCGGCGCCGCCTCCGGCCAATGGGAGGAGGAGACCCACCCGTGGGGGAGGCGTGGCCACGGGGCGGAGGGGCGTGGCCGGAGGCAGCCCGTGGGCGGTGGCAGGCCCGGCCGCCCTTCCGCCCCTCCTGCCGGCGGCCGCGGCCCGACCCCCGCCCTGCCCTGCGGATGTGGAGCCGGCGGTGAGTGGGGAGTGGGCGGCCGGCACCCAGCGGGAAGGGGCTCTCGCCGCCGCCGCCGAGGGGAGGAGCCTCCTCCCTGCCCGCCCACCCCCGGCCTTCCCCGCCGCGGCGTGGAGCCAGCGCCTCTCACCGCCCGGGAGCTCTCTCCCGGCGGCGGTCACGGGCCGCGGGGAGAGGCGAGCTGTGGGCCGGGCCTGGGAGCGGTTCCGGCTGCGGGAACCAGGCCCCGTGGGGTTGTTCGGGGCGGCGGAGCGCGGCCTGGCGTGAGGGAACGAGTCACCGGGATGGTGGGGGGTGCGGCTGGGCCTCTCTCCGCCCCGGCCGGCCGGTCCCTATAACCGGAGGGGGAGGCGCAGGCCGGCGGCGGCAGGGCTATGGCTACCGTCTCTCTAAATCCACCTGCCTCCGCCCCGAGGGGTGAGCGGGCTCGGAGAGCGCCCCGGGCAACCGGCCCGACGGGTTGGTGAAGGGGAAGTGGGCCTTGGGGGGCAGAGGTCCGTTTTGTCTCCGCTCCCCGCTCCTCGGGGTCTGTCGTGAGTCGTGGTGAGCGGGGGTCTGCGGGAAGAGGCCCAAGTGACATCCCGGGGGGCTGGGCCGGGCGCTGAGCCGCCCGTGTGGGGCACCGGGAACGGCAGAGGCGAGTCGGGAGGGTGCTCCAGCCCTGTCCTGCATTTCGGCAGGAATAAGCCTAAAAATAACGAGCCTGACTTAGTCACCGCGCCAAGCACAATGATTCTCAATAAATGGTAGGAGCCAAGTTCGCCTGCTGTTTATACAAAGGCTGTTTTCAGAAGAAACGCTGTTCTCTGACGTGTTATTGTTAACTCACGATAATAACTACCTGGTGCTTTTGATTCCTTAAATTCCATAGAAGTCGCAATATGCACAATGTGACAGGCATTATCCTTTTAAAAAAAAAAAAATAAAACTGATTATGGAAAGTGACGCATTAAGTTGAAGTCGTGAATCAAGACAGTGCAGTCAATCATTGACAATCAAAGTTACGGTGCCTAGTTGCTGATTATGTTTTCCCTTTGTCTGATTAATTCAGCTTGTGCAGATTTGCATCTAAAATGTTTTAAAATACTTTATTAACCCCGAGTATTTCTTCTAAAGACATACGTACTTGGGTTCAGAGTTGTAAATCCAAATGCTGCAGAATTGCTTGCGTATGAACTTAGTGAAACTAACTGAAAACTTCGTTGAAATTTGACTTGAAACCTTTTCCCTCCTAAGTCAAAAGCAAATAGCCTTGTTTATTATGATATGCATACGTTTACACTATCACTATTTTGTAGGATAATTTATGTGAAATAACGGAGATAGTGATTTCTCTGTGAGTCACATAACTGTATCTGTCATAAAAGCTCTAACTGCATCCTACAGCAACTTACTTAGAAATGAAGTAGTTTCAGTCTTTGAACAGGAGGGGGAAAACTGCTTAAAGGCAGTGGGTAAAATCCTTTCTTTGGTGAAGTTAATAGCAAAAAAAACCCAAACGCAACAACAGCCAAACCCAAACCTTCCCCTCAGTTTTAAATTCAGTAAATTCAGTCTGTGATAGGTTTTTCATTTTCTTGGGTTTTTTTATGATTTTTTTTTTAACTGACTAGGTCATTTACCAGATTTCTCTATTAACAACTTTAAATTGCTTTATGAAGCATAATATAAAGATCTCTGTAGAATCATTGGCATACAAGTTGAAGGTACAATGTCAACAATACTTACATGGAGCAACTGAGGGATCTGAACTAGGGTGATTCAGCCTGGAGTTAGGGAGGCTCGGGGCAGACCTTATCACTCTCCACAACTACCTGAAAGGAGGTTGTAGTGAGGTGGGGGACGGTCTCTTCTCCCAGGTAACAGGACAAAAGGAAACGGCCTCAAGTTGTGCCAGGGAAGGTTTAGATTGGATATTTAAGGAAAACTTTCTTCACCAACAGGGTTGCCAAGCATTGAAACAGGCTGCTTAGGGAAGTGGTTGAGTCACCATCCCTGGAGATTTTTCAAAGACCTTTGTGCCAGGGAAGGTTTAGATTGGATATTTAAGGAAAACTTTCTTCACCAACAGGGTTGCCAAGCATTGAAACAGGCTGCTTAGGGAAGTGGTTGAGTCACCATCCCTGGAGATTTTTCAAAGACCTGTAGGTGTGGTGCTTAGAGATATGGTTTAGTGGTGGCAGGGCTAGGTTAATGGTTGGACTTGATGATCTTAAGGGTCTTTTCCAACCAAAATGATTATATGATTCTTACAGAATAGGTTCACTTAGAACATTTGGATTATCTACATATAAAGCTATGCTGATGCTCAAAACTTTGCAGCTGGACTTTGTCACAAACTCTAGGTTTATGTCTCTCACCAAGTTCAAGTCATTTAAGTGCTATGTGCATAATTTGCCTATCTATGTGATAGGTGTCCTGCTAACCTACTTGAGGTGGTATAAGCTTCTTTGGTATGGTTAAAGCTTCACGAGATTTACTGAGAAGGTTCCTCCTTAAACATATAGTGTGTTTGCACATTCTTATCAGGAGAAGCTTATTGGTTTTAGATATCTGTTTGACCAATGTCCTCTTCTGTTTATGTTTTCATTTTCAGACGGTCTTTTCCAACCAAAATGATTATATGATTCTTACAGAATAGGTTCACTTAGAACATTTGGATTATCTACATATAAAGCTATGCTGATGCTCAAAACTTTGCAGCTGGACTTTGTCACAAACTCTAGGTTTATGTCTCTCACCAAGTTCAAGTCATTTAAGTGCTATGTGCATAATTTGCCTATCTATGTGATAGGTGTCCTGCTAACCTACTTGAGGTGGTATAAGCTTCTTTGGTATGGTTAAAGCTTCACGAGATTTACTGAGAAGGTTCCTCCTTAAACATATAGTGTGTTTGCACATTCTTATCAGGAGAAGCTTATTGGTTTTAGATATCTGTTTGACCAATGTCCTCTTCTGTTTATGTTTTCATTTTCAGACATACACTGTAGGAAGTTGTATGCTGTTGCTTTTGCTGATAGTTTCTGCTTATTACTTTGTTTTTGTTTGTTTGTTTGCTTTCTCATCACTACTACTTTGCTATACACAATTTTCCTACTTAGAGAGTAGGGCATAAATGCCACCAAAGACTGGTAGCATCTTGCCAGGTGACGGTTAGAGGAGTTGCTCAAACTATTCGTTTCAGTAGGTCCACAGAAACGGGCATCTGCCACTTCGCTAAGCACAGACATATGTAACTCACTGTAGGAAAGTTTTGTGGTTTTTGGATTGATACCAAATATTTTTTAACACTGGCGTTTTTATTTTGCTTTTATACTTAGCAAGCTCTCAAAAGATGGCAGAAAGCTGGTCTGTCGTGGATACGTTTGAGCCTGACTTCAGGCCTCTGGTAGTAATTGAGCTTGCAAAAGGCACCAAAGAGGAAACCATAGAATGGTTCACTAAACGAATTGTGGAGAAAAAAGCAAATGGAGGTGAGTATACTATGATCTTCTGTAACACTTTGAAATCAATTTAGCTGTCATCATAAGATGAAGACATACAAAAAATTAGTTTTCAACTAATTTGTCGTTTAATTATTGTTTAGCCAGTGCCACTCCATTTTGCAATTTTTGAAGTTGCTTGATTTTATGTGAGTAGAGCCTCATTCTCATGTCATGAAAATGTAATAACTGAACCCTCTTAACCCAGTTATTAATGAAAATATTGGCTTAAGGTTGGTTCACATGTCTGTTGAACTCTAAAATCCTTCCATTTTTGCAGTGGAACCCTAATAACCTCTCCTTCAACATAGTTTGATTAGCTGTCTAGGGAACATCTCTCTTCTTGCTTATGAGAATGTTGTAATGAACGTTGCATCATAAATGAACATGCATCACATCTACTATCCTGTCCGAAATTAACTTAGCAGGAAGCAATTTAATATTGATAAATTAATGCTGGATTTTAAGTATCATTTTTGCTAGCTTTTAGGCTCTTGTAAAGACAATATTTCATAACTGATTTTTTTTGTATACATTCAGGAATTGAAGTTAGGCTAAATAATTTGTAATTCCTTAGACTTATTGTTTTACATTTTTTAGAAAGGCATTATTTATGGCTGTTGCAGCTTTTTATCTTATGGTCAGTAATATTTCCATAGCTATCTGATTTGTGACTACAAACTTGCTTTCAGGCCTCTGCTACTTAAGTCAGGGATCTTTCTATTTCAAAAGTGTAGTCTCCTTAAAACTTGTAGGACTGTTTGCAGAAGCACTGATTGCTTACGTGATGTGAGCGTGACAGGAGTAGGTCCAAACTGTCCCTGTTGTTACAGTTCACTGCGAGCACTTCCACAGAAAAAGGGCTAAATCCTGGGGTCACCCTGCAAGATTCTGAACACCACATCAGGTGCTGTTGAAGCCTTAATTCTTTGTGCTCTTGAAAGGGGCAGTTTCAGCATTCCTGATAACTGGGCCCAAAATGATGTATGCTAAAATGCTAAGTTTTTCAGGTGTCGTTTTAATGTATTCTCTTCCTAATTTTGCTTTTCTTTACTTTAAAGGTGCACAACTGCTGGTTAAACCATTGGTAACGGAAAATGGAGATGAACATATTTATCTGGTTGGAGCTTCCCACTTAAGGCTGTTGCTGGGAGCTGAAACTGTGGGTTTGGTGAAGGAATGTAATGATAACTCAATGAGAACTTTTACATACAGCAGTAGAAAAACTTTCAAAGATTTTGCAGGTAAGCAATTTTAGGAGTCTTTGTGACTAAGAGCAGAGCTGTGGCTAAAGATTCAAAGCAATTACACTGCTAGATCTTTCACAGTCTTTCTATTCCTTGGAACAGTAACAGTAAACAGAAATCAGAAGAACAAGCTAGGAAAAAACCACTCTTTTTTTGCCTCTGGAAATTCAGATCATATGGTGAAATTAATTTATTTTTTTTCCCCCACATGTTTTCCACTTTTTGCTTGTGTTTTTCTTTATGCTTTTGTGTGCTCCAAATAATTTGTTATTAGTATGAAAGTTTTTTGTTGAAAATATGACAAGAAAAAATAGTTGATAAACATGAGTGCATGATTAACAATCAATGTTATGAATTAACATAGCAATTTAATTTCTTATTAATATCTGTGAGCCAGTTTCGAGGCTACTATCTTATAATTAGAGCAATTTAATTTCTTATTAATATCTGTGAGCCAGTTTCGAGAACTGGAGAAAGTATTTCTGCTTCCTGCTTTCTATTACAACTACACATCAAGCTGAATTAAGTAATTAAATAAGAATAATAATTAATAAATAATGCTATAGAGCCATTCGGTGGAATTTGGGCATGATGAGATGAGAAATGTGTCATCTACAAAAGAAACCCCACAGCCTGTGTTGTCTTACTAATATTTCTAATTCCCTGGTTTAATTGATACTATATTCTTATTCGTTGTATTAGAGATTTGTTCAATTGGTCATTTTGTCAGACTCTATTTCCTTGATGATAAATTGATGGAGTTGACAATAGCTTTGTTGCTGTAGCTCTTCAAAATTTGGGATTTTTTGAAAGGTTTCTTACTGTTTTACCTTATTTCTATATTTTTATCAGAACTAATTGTCTCAACTGGCTTATCGTTATGCTGTATGGGCAATAAAGAGCAAGATGCAGTGATATTTGTGTGAAATGCTTACTGAAAAGGAGATTTTTCCTGACATCTTACTGGTTTTTGTTATGAAAATACTTCAGGAACTGTATGGCAGAAAGGGGTATGGAGATTCTGAGATCAGCAAATAGTGGGTGCCTAAGTAAGGGTCTTTCAACAAAAGAAGAGTACGCTTGCTGGTGTATTAATCCAGCCTCCAGCAATTAGTACTTTAGGGGTGTCTTTGTCTCTTGATTTGTTTTCTAATTTCACCCAAGGGGTCAGAAATGCAGTTAGAGAAAACTTCTTCCCAAGACGTTTATTTTAAAAAGTGGAGGTTTTTGCTAATGGATGTTGGTTGGTAGTAGTTGTCACATAATTATTACTACTTTTTTCCTGATTCTGGTCATTTTTGATAGCTATTTGCTGCCAGGGTTGTCTTCCTATGCTGCACAATTTCATACTACTTTCTTTTTGGTTTTAGATGACAATCACAATTTCCTTACAATGGCAGAATGTCAGTATATCATCAAGCATGAACTCGAAAATTTAAGAGCTAAAGAAGAAAAAATGATCCCCGGATATCCTCAGGCAAAGCTGTATCCAGGAAAATCAATTGGTAAGCTACATAGTTTGCCTGTAACTGTGTTGATATATGATAGCGTTCATGGTGAAAAAACCCTTAATTTTCCTGCAATGAAGAGAAATCCTTTGGTTAAGTCCCGCTATTTTTAATCAATTTTTTCTCTCACCACTCCACAGTGATAGAATTAGAGGTGACGGATGCACAGTTGCAACAAGAGAAATTCTGAATAGATAATAAGAAAATGCTTTTCACTCTGATGGTAGTGAAACATTGGAACAGGGTTTTAGAGAGACTCTGGTAACTCTGTCGTGGGAGACTTTTAGATCTTGACTAGACAAGGCCTGGAGCAGCCTGGTTTAAGCTGGACCTGCTTTGACCAAATAACTTCCAGAAGGTTGTCCAACCGAAGTCTTTCTGTGGGGCTGAGACTCTGGCCTCATAGGGTTTTTTTGTTGTTTTTTTTTCAGCTGGATAATTTTTATTTATATTGATGTTACCCATTGTTTTTATAATTAGTACTAAAAATATTTGGTTTTAAAAGATTACTTAATTGGATTGTCTCTGTATAAAAATATTGGAATGAATAACAGTGTTCCAGAGCTATAAAATTCAAAATATGAAGTAATTTTTATTTCAGTAGTTTGATTTCATTTATCCTCCTCTTTGCTTCTAGAGTTCTTTTCATAGGAGAAAGAAGCAAGAAGAGCTACTTATATGGTAGTTGGAACTAGTTCATTGTCAGAGATGCTTAGAGTTTCTTAGAGTTTATCTTTTAATATTTGTATGTCCTTATAAAAACAGCGTCTTTATTCATTAGTGTTGGTCATTGAAGAAGCAGCTCTGTGCATGTCAAGTGGTTCAAGAAATGTAAATAAATGTAGATGTCAGATGAGTTTACACTGGTAATTTTTTGTATAGCTAAGATATTTTTCTAGTTATGTCAAGTAGATGCCAATGGGAAATGGTAAAAAACTATCACACAACTTCTACTGGCTCTGCTCTCCTGTTTTTGAATTTATTTTCTTTTTTAATATTTCTATGATTGTAACTTCTGGAGCAGTTTGTTAATTGTTTATCAACATGGGTAATATTGCTAAATGCAAATTCTGGAATATTTTGTTTGTTAGCAATGAAGATGTGTTGTAATTTATGAATTAGTATTGGTTGATCATCCAAGAATGTTTTTAGTATCTTTCCCATAATTAATACAACGATGGCTCTTCAGTTTAGTGTTTTGTTTTTGCTATGTCAATTTGATTCGTTATGCCTTTCTTTGCTCACATGTAAGAGCCAGACCTTTCCCCACAAAGCTCCAAATGGCATTTCAGTTCTGATCTGTAGCCCTTTTTGATATTCAGGCTGCAGCTGGTTATGTTGCAAGCCTATGGAATAGTCCATAGGTGTAAAAAAGTTACTTTTTCTCTTCTAGTGGGTAGCACAGTCTTTGTAGGAATAGGTAGAACTGCTTTCTATAATGGATAATTTTCAACTAACATGACATTTTATTTGTTTTTTAAACGCTAGATTTATTTCATAGTAACTTTAGGCTTGCTAAGTACATAATGTAGCCTTTTTGCTTTTATCAACTTCACTGTCTTTTGAAGGAGTACTAAGTATCTTTTTCTCTTTCTTTCTTTTTTTTTTTTTTTTTTTTTTTTTTTTTTCTTCCTTTTTCCTAGTGAGAAGATTATTGACCAGTGGTATTTTGGTTCAGATTTTCCCACTGCATGATAGAGAAGAGTTGAAAAAGCTCCGTCACAGCTGGTATGGCCGGGTCAAAGTTGGCTATCAACCTTTAGGTATGTGAACTCTTATTCCACTAAAAATAAAGTGCAGGGTTTCTTCTAGAGAAGTCTTCTCTTCCGTTTGTGTGAGAAGACCAAGTGTCCTTCCTAACTTCTGCTTCAGCATTTAGCCTCTGTAGAAGTGAAACTGTGGTGTGGAAGGTAAGCGTTGTACAAATATGGCTGAAGGGAGCGTCTTGGCCTGGGTGTGCTATCGAGCATGCTTAGGATTTAAGATTTGAGTATACCTTTCCATCTATTCCTTTAGTTCCTTGAAGGCTGGCAAAGCACAACTAGGCCTTTTTGGCCCTGAGCAGGCTGAAACAAATTTGTTTCCCAGGTGTATATATACCAGTAAGAAGCTTCAGAAGTTAAATGTCACTCACTGTTAAAGTTTGGTTTTAAACCAGATGTTGTCTGTGCCATCTTAGCCATTAATTGGTAGATTCAATTCTCACAAATGCTAGTGTTCTGGGGTTTTTTCCTTCTGGGTATCTGATGTTAATTTGCTAAGTATTGAGATATTTGACTTCCCTGCCATCTGAATGTATGTATGTATTTTTATATGTATATAAATAGAACATCAAAAAAATTCAAATAACTACCTGAGTTTTTGGAACATGGGAGAAGCAGGAACAAAAAAACAATAATATTCATTGGATTATTTAGGAAAAATACCTTTGAGTCAAGGGATTCTTGTAAAATCAAGTTCGATATTATACCGACACCTATGTTAAGTGTAGTCTTAATTGATTCCTTAATTCATTTTCTCTGCAGATGAGATACGCTGCTACTTTGGCGAAACCATTGCTCTCTACTTTGGCTTCTTAGAATACTTCACATTTGCTTTGGTTCCAATGGCTGTCATTGGGATTCCTTATTACGTGTTTGCATGGGAAGACTATGACAAATACGTGATGTTTGCTACGTTCAACCTGCTCTGGTCCACTGTGATACTGGAAGTTTGGAAGCGGATTTGCGCACTCATGACGTACCGTTGGGGGACGCTGTTGATGAAACGACAGTTTGAAGAACCAAGACCAGGCTTCCATGGTGTCCTGGGCATCAATCCTGTCACGGGGAGAGAAGAACCAGTGTACTCAAGTATTAAGAGACAGATCCGGATTTATCTGGTGTCCTTACCATTTGTGTGCCTTTGCCTCTACTTCTCACTGTACGTGATGATGATTTACTTTGATTTGGAACAGTGGGCTTTGGACTATCACGAAGCGAATGAGTCCAACTTCAGCAGCTTGATGCTGTTTGTGCCCAGTATCATATATGCTGTTGTGATTGAAATCATGAACCGCATCTATCGGTATGCTGCTGAATTCTTAACGTCATGGGGTAAGTTGTTTATTCTTCCTTAAAGTTAGAATACCAGATGTTTAGAATTTGTTTCTTTATAGAATATGTTACTGGGAGTTCTTGTTCAATAGAATGCTAAAGAAGTTTCCTGAAGTATGTTTTTACTGTGGGGTAAAAGAGATGGCCATTTTAACTTCTTACATTTATTTTGAGTGTTCTGAGATCAATTTCACGTTTGGTTTAATTTGTTCTGAGTCTAGCATGACATCAAAAGGGGTGATACCTTCCTCCTCGGCCTCTCTCTGCCTTTGGTGCAGAAGTCCTTCTTCCCTGATTTAGCTCTTTCTTTGGCTGGATCAGCCATAGTGCTGGCCCAAGTGGCGAGGTGAGATCACGAGGATGGGAGCTCAGAGGTGGATGGCAGGAGGGACTGTCCTGGTAGTTGGCATCCACAACCTGAATTTGGTGAATTTAGATTTGCTGAATATGTCTTAGTCTGCTGATATATCTGTGCAGAGAACAGAGGCACTGAGATATGTAACAAAATCGAAAAACATTAACTACATGCCATGTGAGAGTGTTTGTGTATGCTATATATATACACCAAAGACAGAGGTTCCATATCCCTATCAAAATATTTTCCTCTGGGCACTCTCAGAAGAGGAGGAATGTTAAAATAGATTGTCTTGTTTTCCCTGTGTGTGTGACTTGCATAACAGATTGGACCTTACATTTTGTAACATAAGGATAGTGAAACGTTAGTGTTGGTTTTTTTTTTTTTAATTTTTGCACTCCTACAGACATGCAGTCAATTTCAGACAAAGTTAATAGATGAAGCTAATGGGAAGTTAAGAGTTTTGTGTTAAGAGCTCAATAAGGCATAAATTTACAGGCTGACCCAAACAACTCTACAATTCTATGACAGAATCCAGGTTACTAAAGCTGGAGGCACAGAAAATGAACCTAAGAAAGATTGAGCAAAAAGGAGATTGATGCAGAAGAGAGAATGAAAAGAGGTGTTGAACTGGGGATTGGTTATGCATGCCAAAATGATTTGCTCAGCAAATTAAACTTGACAGCAGCAGTAGCAAAAGCAAGCCATTTCTTGATTTGTTTATGACTATTCAAGGATTTTATTTAAATAATGACTTTTAAATTCTTGTCTAGGTTTCAACTGCCTGTTTTGTTTTTGTGTTGATTTTTTTTTTTTATGACTTTTAAATTCTTGTCTAGGTTTCAACTCTTAAATTCTTGTCTAGGTTTTTGTGTTGATTTTTTTTTTCCCCCACTATACTGCAAGAAAAAGCCTTTATGCAAAATGCCCAGTTGAGTTGATCAGGTAGACTAAAATGTCTTTAGCAGGTAACGTGTGTTTGGTTTTTTTTAAGCCAGACTTTCTTGGTTTTAAGCTGATGTTTCATATTCAGCAACAGCAGTATTTGTGTACTGCAGTACACTGACAGCTTGTGCCTTTTCTCTGCTATCCAACGTGTTTATGCTGCTGTGGGTAGGATGAAGAGCTCATCTGGCTGTCCTGCCTCCCCTCCCACCTGACACGATTTCAGCTAAGGTCTGATTTAAACAGCTAAACTGGCAAACCATAGGGCTATTTTTAAGCACTCCTCTTGCACCCATTTATCACCGGAACCGATTGCTTAGTGAAAGCTGAAAGTAAAAATTGCATTCAGTCCCCTGAGTGCGTTTTTCATATGCCAGGCCCAACTTGACACTCTGTCAGAGTAGAACTCTGCTGTTCTCTCCTGAGCATGGTCTGTAGGTGATGGTCTCTCCTTTCAGCCTTGTTGACACAGCTGATGCTACTGTGCTGCCTCCTCATTCAGGTACTGCTTAGCCAGGGCCTGAAAGGTACAATCTGACTAAATAGCAAAAAGAAATAGGAAATCTCCCATTCACTTCCCTTTCCTCCTGCTTTAGTTACCAGTCTTCCTCAAACCTCAGCTTCTGACAGTTTTATCTTGAATGAACTGAAAATCTTCATTTTAGAATCGATAATGTGAACTTTATGTATTCTAGCCTTGCGTTAGACCTTAGCGTCTGATTTATATTCCTTGGAGATGGATAGGGATATTTCTGTGAGCGTTTACTGGTTTTGAATCGTCTGGTGTTACTATTTTTCATGATGTATTCCAATTGGTTTTGCATTTTTTTTCAGCCAAAAAAAAGTCAATAATGAGACACACTTTATTAAGTGTTAAGAATGATGGATGTTTTTTCAGTTATTAAACAGCTCGTCTGAGAAAGAAAGATGTAAAAGGAAAAACCTTTGCAGTAGAACAAATACTGGAGTTGTAGCCAAAAATATACATGTCGATATGGTGCATCAGATTAGCTTTACAGGTTAGCTTTAATGGTACAGGATAAATTATTTTTGCTGTAAATGTTGAGGAACTATTCCCCATAAGCTATTATTTAAGCAATTTTTAGGTGGAGGAAAAGTGTCTGTTTACTCTTTGTAGAGCAATGTTCATTATATGATAAGTGCTTCTGCTGTTTACTGATTAATAATTTTGTTGGTATTTTAGAAAATCACAGACTGGAATCTTCATATCAGAATCATTTAATTCTGAAGGTTTTGGTGGTAAGTATGTAGTATAAGCAGATTTTAAGATGATTTAAAAAGAGAACTTGTCATGTGTTTTATTAGTTCTTTCCTACCATTAGCTCACTGACCTTCAGTTTTTTTCAAGGCCAAATACTAGCACAAATATCAGAGTAAACAGGATTTCTGTTGTGGTTGCAGTAACTGCTAGACTGTTCTGGATGCCTCTTTTTATAGTGGAGAGTTGGCTTATTATTTGTATTGATTTGTTCTTTCATTAGGATTCTGTAGATTTAAGGTTTTCTTTATGTTAGTTGATGTGGTCCTATCTTTATGTTAGTTGATGTGGTCCTGTTAATTGATGTGGTCCTGTCTTCAACTGGGAAGAAGCTGAATTCACTCCTAATGAATTCAACTTCTGGATTAACTGGGAAGTGAATGTCTTTCACTTTTTGCAAGATTTTATGGTAAAGCTGTATCTTAAAAAGTTCATGTATTAACTTCCATCTGTACTAACATTCAGACAACCAGTCAGGGGAGGCTGGAAATACACGTCCATCAGGCTGCTCCTATGCAGTTTGTAGTCCTGATTTGTCTTGCCTTCTGGCTCTGAACAACTAGCTTTTGTGTTTGTGTGTGTATAAGTTTCATTGCTCTTTTAGGTGCATATCCATTTGCAACACTGATTCTAAGGAAGAGTACCGTGAATTTTGAATTTCCATAGAAGATGTTCAGTAAAAGCAGTTGTAAAGATTAACTTATTTTGAGACTTAATATTCTTGTTTCCTTTTTGAAGAGGTCATTCAATTTTATTCCAGAGTTCCCTTCCCCTGCCCACCCCCAACTCAGCATGCTATTTTATTACTTTTTTAAATCTGCTTGTTATCCTTGTTATTGGTAACCTCTAGAACTAAAACTCTTGTATGTATCATTTATAGTTTAGGGCCTGCCTTTCTGAAAAAATGGCACTCTTTTTCGCTATAGGAAATTTATATAAAATAATTTAAAAATATATAAAATGTCAAATGTAACCCCCCTCAAGTTTCACTTTCAACCTATGAGTGAGTCTCTGCACTCCTCGTTATTATCTATGTCATCCATGAGCTCCAGCACTGATAGCAAGTAGGAAAAGTTCTCTCCTGCTTCAGAGCTGGCTTATGATTTTTTCAGGTACAATACTGTGATTATGTCTCATTTTAGAAGCAGGGAATATTTCTCTTGGTTGCAAAACCTCTTGAAGTGATTCAACATAAAGCTCAACTAACATGTATCAAGGAACATACATCAGGTTGTATGTGTTGAGAGAGATATGTCATCCAATGCATATATTTGGATTAAGTATTTGTTTGGGGAAAAAATCCCAAGCAAACATTCCCTTTTATTGCATTACCTGTGGGGAAACTGCCAAAAGATGAAAATTAAGTAGAAGTTGATGTGTTTTTATTGTCCATGTTTCTTTGCGTGCCATGCTTTAGGAAAAGCTCATCGAACAAAAATCTGAGCAGGAGGAATATTGAAAATTATGTTTTTCTGACCTAAGTTTTAAAAATGTTAAAGAAAATTTTAATAGTTTACATCTGCATGGAAGCTATTTAGTCAAGGTAACTGTTAAGTTAGATAATATTCTGCATTTGAACTTTTGCTTGAGTGCTAATAACAAGTATTTTTAATTGCAGTTCAACTTCTTAAATTGTTTTGCATCTCTCTTCTACATTGCCTTTGTGCTATTTGATATGAAGCTTTTGAGGCAGGTGAGTTTCAAGAACATCTTAAGAATATTGATGAATCTGGGAAAATAAAAAATTGATTGAAATAGCACTTCAGTTTTTAATTGTTTTTCTAAAATATATATGAAATATATTCATTGTCAAGTTAATATTTTCTTACAAATCCAGCTTCCATATTTCACTTCCTCCACAATTGCAGATTCATAACAGTAATGTAGAGCAATTCTTTCTTTCTTTCTGTATCAATGAGGAACTGTTTTCAAATAAATTGGTAGCTCTCTCACACAGATGAGGCCGGAAAATTTTCATTTCCTCCTTCTTTCCCTTTATATTAGAAAATGATTTTCTCTGTAATGTTTTTAATGAGAAACTCTTGAGGATAAGAGAATGATTAAACTTCTGACTGCAATGAGGAGCTGAGAATAAATAAAATCAAAAATAATTTGTTGTTGGTATTTGAAATCAGCTTTCTGTTGTTAACATCTTTTGAACTCAAACGCATGAAAATCAAGTATAAGGAAAATATTTTTGCTCTAAAAATAATGAACAAAAGAACAAGAAACTGAGCTTAAGAACTCTGCTCCTCTAAAGAGATCTCTAGCAAAACACTTGACATATCTATACCAGACATGACATTCATAACATTTCCTATATTTTAAGGTAAAAAACAAGAAGAAAAAAAAATAGAAAAAAGTTCATTGGTTAGCTCTGTTATTGGTGTTGGTATAGGTTAAGTGTGTATCTTTACCCTTCGTTGGACTTTGTGTCCTGTCTCCAAGATACAACCAGATCCACAAAATATTTAGATATATAACTCTTACTTTGTCCTTTTCAGCACATAGCAAAGAATGGGTACTCGAGCAGCTGTACTTTCATATGCTACTGCTAGTTTTGTTAGCCTGGCCTTCTTTTGCCATAGTATCACAACTTATGGTATTACTAGAACATACAAAATTGGAAATGATCATAGGTTTATCACAGATCTATTAAACTTTTTTTGTCCTATCTTTTCTTTCTTTTTATTTATTTTTTTTTTAAACTTAAGAGCTTGGCCACTTTGCTGATAACTTCGCAGATCCTAAATCAGTTTGCCGAATCTTTGCTTCCTTACTGGCTCCAAAAGAGACACAAGAAGAGGATGAAGAAACGCATGTGTTCTCTGAAAACAGATACGGACCTGTCATTGGTGGAACAAGTCAACCTGGAGAAAGAAATGGGCACCTATGTTGTATGTATTACTACTGCAAAAGAGTTAAAAGTTTTCTGGGCTGTAGTTGACAGAGACATCAGCCGGTGCAACCTGAAATATTCCTGGCTGTTTGGTCTAGCAGCTTTTTTCCAGCTGCATTAATTTTGCTGGTAATGTTTGTACAGTGATATGGTGCAGTGGATCAAGGAACTGGTACAGTGCAGGATCCCAGTTGCATCAGCACAAAGGGGTAGGAATGAACAGCTGAATCTGGATCTACCTAACCCCATATCACTGGAAGAAATGTTTGTGTAATTGCAGTTCTAAAGGAATTGACAAAGTAGACATTAGTGTGTATGTTAAGGCCTTACAGACTGGCTGGTAACTTCCTTGATCAGATGCTGCAAGCATAGTCACAAAAGGCTCAATACTGTATGATTTATACTTTCACAGAATAAGAATTATATGTAGATAGTGTACCTTTTATGTAAAAAAAGTTTGAAATTTGATATCAGTACCGTATCAGATTCCTCTCTTCCTGTGTCAAGTGCCATGAAAAGGGAAGAGGAAACAGGAATACTACCTTTGCAATTGAAAAACTATACAAATGTTAACACTTGCATTCCTCTGGGAAGGTTGGTGTTTCTCACATTTTATATGAGAGAGAGATTTAGAGAGCATGGCTACCTTACAGTAGAGAACACAGCAGAAATTCCCAAGTTAGTGTCTAGTAAATGAGCACAGTCCAGCCCCGTGCCTGCAGACAGACCTGCACAGCCCCGAAAGCTGTGTGTTGGCACCAGGCGCTGCTGTGCCTTACCAAATAAGCTCTGCCTCTTGGGGCTGAGCTCAGTGCTGATTCTCAGCTGACACACAGGAAGCCAGCGTGGTGTCTTTGAGTCACATTGCCCAGTGCTTCTTGTGCAGAGCTAGATCAAATGTATCTGCACCTGTTGTACCATTCTGCCCTGAATAACTTTCTGCAGGGACTCAACAAGTCAATTGTAGAGTTCCAACTTTGCCTTGGAGGTGGCCACCGCTAGCCTCAAGGTACTGTGTACTCGAGGCCTTAATGTTATTTTCAGTCTAAAGATTTAAGTTGTGCTGTGCTTGTGAATACACAGTATTAGATCACTGATTTGTTTGTAAGCAATGAGCTGTCAGCAGGCAAGAGTATTTCTAAAATTAAATCTGTCACAAGGGGGAAGCATTGGACTATGTTTAGTAACTGAGGAGTTTAGCAGGAATCTTGACAGAATTCGTTGTTTCAGGCTCTTCTCTTTTCCTTCCTTCACTTAACTCTTTAACATTGAATTATCTTTTTTTTTTTTTTGTCCTCTTTCCTTCTCACTTCAGATCTCCAGCTCTTAACCCAGTTAAGATGTAAAAACATCCTGCAGTCATTTTTAAATATTTTTTTATGATTCTACTTCTCTCTAATTCACTTTATCCCTGAATTTCTTTGCTGATTCTGTTTCCTTGATACTATAATTTATGTGCTGCTTTTCTGGCTGACAATGGCATACTTTGAAATTTCTTTGACATCCTATCAGAGTCCTCTCTTCCTGCGCAAAGTGTCATAACTTGAGTAGGAGAAAAATAAATACTCCTTTTCTTTTCATACTCTGCTGTTCTAAAAGTCAATAGGTACTGGACAAGGAAATGAGAAGAAAGGTGTGAGGAAGTAGTGGGAATACTGTGCAGTTACCAGAAGGAGGAGAACAAAGGGAAGCGTTGCTCTGCCATGCTCCCTGCCTGCAACATTTGTCTGAGAAAGTGATAGCAGGGACAGATATGTGACTGCAACTCCAGTGAGTGATCCTGCATAAATATCCCACCTTACTAAAATTTGGAGTTTGTACATAACATTTCTCTGGAAAAAAATCTCAGTGGTTTTAAAAGTTAGACAGCTTCTCAGGGTCTGGTCTACAGATCAGTTTGTCAGACCTAGCTGTACTACACAACTTAAAAATGAGCTGAAGTGAAGAATGCAGCTAATGGTAACCCCATGTTGATTTCTGAGCTTGCAGGATTCTACTGCCTCTCTCTGTTAGCTAGGAAAAAAGCACTAAGTGCTGGAGAGGCAGTCAGTTTAACAGCTATAACCAGCAAAAAAGATTAGAGAACCACGTGTCTGATGTATGGAGCCAAAACCAATTTTGTGTGGTTCTTGTAATAATCTCAGTTACTGTCAAGTCTGTACTTTTAATATCTCATTTTTGAGAGGCGGAAAATGTGTGGGTCTTAGCGAATACAATATAGCTAGATCCCGGTTTAACTTCTTCCTGCTAGTTCACCATCCTTTGTTCAGCAAACACCTTTCCTTTAAAAATGAGTTGGTTTTGTTCTTCGCTTCCATAAATAACTGGTGCAACCATAGAAAACTATTATTAATACTACCAAGTAGTAGTTATGCAAATATGCATAATAACCTCCATGTGAATACTTAATCAGTGTCTAAGTACCCAGGTTCTTAGTTTAAAGATCAGGTGATAGATGTGTTGCACATTGGCCAAAATGGGGCTTTTTGTTTGCATTAATTGTTCCTTTCAGATGCTGGTGCTGCATTCTGTCATTTCAGCCTCCAATCGGGCCACTAATTTGTACTTACCTGTTTTGAAATAAACAAACAGAAATACCAGAAAAGAGTTGTCCATCTACCAACCTGTCTTTCTGGTCAGGTCTTTTGTAGACGGTCTGAAATACTAGGACTTTTCGTGTCACAATGCTCTTAGGAGTAGGTTCTGCTAGTTTAAATGCATGATGCTGTTTTACTATCCCCCACTGTGCCTTCTGTAACTGTTTCGCTGAGGTAGTCAGGAACTTGAATGGGATTAATGTGTTTATACAATTATTTCACGTAAGAAGGATAAGAAACATGACTGTTACAGAAAATGCATTAGGTGAAAGGAAAAACTTTGGCTTCCCCTTATGAAGAAGTTTTGAATAATTCCAAAATAACTAGTTGTATTTTTTTGTTGTTGTTGTTTCTACCACCAGTCATTGCTAAACCACTGAGTTGGGATGAAGAAGTGTGTTTGCAACTGTGTTGTTAATTCTGTGTTTCTTCATGTATTTTTTTGTGGTTAAAGTTGTTCTTATTTTCGTTCTGTTTTTCAGGGTACTTTTGATGATTACCTGGAGTTGTTCTTACAGTTTGGTTATGTGAGTCTTTTCTCCTGTGTTTATCCACTGGCAGCTGTCTTTGCAGTGTTAAACAACATCACAGAGATATATTCTGATGCCTTAAAGATGTGTAGAGTTTACAAGCGGCCATTCGCAGAACCCACAGCAAATATTGGTGTTTGGCAGGTAAATTTTGTGTCTCTTTCTATTAATTTGTTTTAAAAGAGATTTCAACAAACATATTTAAGCTGTGTGTTTAACCCATCAGCCACTTTTAGTTTAGTTTAAAAGGTACTTTGTTCTCTTCAATTCCTTAGGATACTGTCTATCCCACTGTAGTGTTTTTTTGTAGGGTTTTTGACCATGTCTTTCAGTTGCCTTTGAAAAGAAAACAAATCCTTCCTTTAGTCCTTGTGAGTGTATGTGTGTATTGTAGTGGTGTTGCAACTGCAGTGAAGCAAAGCTGCCAGGTACTGCCAGATACTCTTTACAACCAATATATTTTAGAAATGGTAACATCTGATGCAATCTCAGCAGCGTGGAGGTCACAAGGGTTTCCAAAAAAAAAAAAAGAAAAGGGAAGAACGGTAGGTAAGTACTTGGATTCCTAAACCATGTTTGGCTGTGTGCCCTTGTGATTATTGGTACTCAAGCTGATGAATTTTAAAGTAACCTGGATCTGTGAGCAGGAGCTGGATATTTCTGCTTAACCTGAACATTGTAGTCTATCTATACAATTTCATGATGGTACTACTGGCTTAAGGATTTTCTGTCCTCAGTTGTTCGTGCATGTGCTCATAGCACCAGCTAGTTTGGAGCCTGCTGCCTGTGCTGCATCAGTGAGACAATTCTGACCAAAATTAGCCCTGTAAAACTCCTCCAAACCTTTGGAGAAAGAAGGCTATTAAGTCACATCCGCAGACTTTAGCATTCTGTAATAGCAGTGGCCTGATGAGGAGTGTGAATTAGTTGGAGGAAACTTCTAGGGGATGATCCATATTCTAGTTTTATTTAATAGCTTTTCTAATGTTATATTTTGAAGATAAAGGGCACAGTAAGCTAGTGGAGTGTGTTACTTTGGAGGGGTTGTGAATGTTGGTAACAAATGAAACAAATGGGAGATGCAATCAGGAAACCTTGAATGAAACATACTGTAAAAACATGCAAGCCAAGTATTCTGAGCAGTGTTCATTAGACATGTACATAGGTATTAATGTAGTGGAATTATAGGATAAGTCTTTTAATATGAAATCAGTAAAATGTGCAAATTATAATCTGATTGCATTTTAACATCTGATGCATTTTCTGTGCTGCCAACATCTTGGTGACGTAGCTGCACTGACCAGTGGTAGGACCACCAGTTAAATGAAGCTGTGGTTATAAGTCCCAAGCGCAGCTGCAGGTATATTAATAGCATTTGGTTTTGCTAGAATAGTTTGTTTCAATCTAGGGAGTAGGCTGAAAAAACATAACACTAATTGTACAGTTGTGTGGGGGTTTTTTATAGTGTAGGCTTTTAACTAATAGTGGAAATGCATTTGCTTTGTGAATTAAAAATAATGACTTAAAAATTTAGTTATCTGTTTCATGTGGGAGGTTAGAGCATTCGCTGAGACATTTCTGTTAAAAGAATACTGGAATTATTTTATCAGGTGAGCTGAGTCACCAGCTTGGTGTCAAGGAGAAGGTTACTTCTGCTAATTCATTTTGACAATTGCTACAATCCAATGTCAGCCTTTCTCATTCCAGAAAGGATCGTGGAATAAGTAACCATTATATTGCAAAAGTCGCACTGTAGTAATACTTTCTGGCATTTTGTGGGAGCTCTGTAGGCAAGAGGTTCTCAGACTTGTGCAACTCCATGTGTTTAAATGTAGATCTTTCTTTCAACAAATTTCAGCTTGTGTTACTGGTGGTGATTTAAGAAAGGCATTCTGAACCATCCTTACCTTTTCCTATTACTTAACATTCAGACAAAACCTCTAAAAACAGAGTGTTGGGGCTGTTAGTTCCTCTCAGAGTTTTGCATTTTTTCACTTTATCCTGAAAGAAATTTATGTTCAGGAGTTCAACTGTAAATGAGTGCATAATCTTTTATGTGTTCAGATTATAAATTAAGAAGATAGCAGGGATAAGGCTGCTTTCCTGTCCACTTTTTTGCTTTAGGAGTATTCCGAATTTTTCAGGAGCTGACCTGGCACTATCTACATCTAGGATGTTAGTGGTCTGTAAATAACTTCTTAAGGTCTTTACTGCACTGCAGAATCATGAAAGAATAGTGTTTAACTTCTTCACAGCAAACTTTCTTACACACAGAGAGAGAAATCAAATTAGAGAAAAAATCAGGGTTGCCAGATGGTCTTTGTGGTATTGCAGACCTTGTTGTGGTCTTGCCTGTTGTTGAAGCTGATGAAGTCTGGACTGCTTGTCAAAGAAGACTTATGTTATAGAATTCAAAAGATGAAGGAAAATAAAAAGTTAAAATAATGGAGGATTTAGCAAAGAGAGAGGTATTGTCCAGAGCAATTTGAGGACTGGTAAGTTAGAGATAATAGTCATAACTGTAAATATATTTGTGTTTTATTTCAGCTGGCTTTTGAAACTATGAGTGTCATATCGGTGGTCACTAATTGCATACTGATTGGAATGTCTCCACAAGTGAATGGCCTTTTTGCAGACTCGAAAACGGACCTTATTCTGACTGTGGCTTTGGTGGAGGTAAGTCTGCCTTCAGACAGTGCATGTGGTTTTGTAGCAAGCAACATGAACAACAGTGGAGACAATACCAGGAAGTAGATTTTTTTCCCTCCACTTATTAAGAGGAAATTAAGATTTCCTTACCAAAGAAGTGTTTCAAAGTCTTGCTTTTTGATTTCTTTCTTTCTTTTTTCCTCCGTGTTTTCATTTACTATGAATGTTTCTGCTGTACTTTTCCATACATTTCCAAGGTACTGTGTATTTATTGCTTCATGTATTTCAAGAATTTAATAGTGCTGTTTCAAGAAGCAGAATAACCATATTTTTGTGAACTGGCTGTTTCTCTGCTTGGTTTGTGACCCTGGCATATATTGTTAAGACCTCCTACGTAATCTTTATGGATGTTTCTTCTAAGCCTTATCTGAAACAATGATGAATACTAGTGATTGCAACACCATTTGGGTTTCATCTTTTCCTAATTCTGTGTACTAAACACTTGAGTCCCATTCTTTTTCAGGCAAGGAGGGATGATTATAGGTATCTTACATCATAACTGAGACTGTATCTTTGTATCTTTGTTTCAGAGCTGTCTTGTATTGCATTGCCTTGACTTTCAACATTATGCTATATTAGCTTTTAGGAGTTTACTTTTCTTGAGGCAAAAAGTCTGGGTTGTCTATGTGTAGTTGTTACGTTGCATCAATTTACAGAGGTGCAGCAGGAGCACGTACTTTGTTTTTGCAATGAATTATGAGCTTGCTTTGAGTTTTATTTTCCTAGCCTTAAGGTTTGCAGAGTGTCAACTGGTTTACTGAAGTCTGAGTCTACAGCCAGCCGGATGGATTCTTTTATTACATGTGTGTGAATATTTGCATTAACCTCAGTTAGGTATTTTAATATAAAACTAATTGGCGATTTAAATGTAATACTGTAGTTCATTATTTTACAACATATCCAGAGAGATTGTATTATGAAAACTATATGACTGAATGTAAGCAGTACGGATTTATGGCAACTTAAAGAGATGGAGCTACTTTTGCCTTTGCTTCCTGGGTATTTATTCCCATCTTATCTGTTTTAATGTGAATCTGGCTACATTGTCTCTAGGCAGGCCTCTGTTTCTCGGTAAGCCATAAGAAAATACCAATATTTTTCTCTCTAAATTTAAGTTCTGCTTCTACGCAATCCTTAGGTGACAGGAAATGCATCATAGTAATTACGTTGCTTTTGGAATTCCATTTTAACAGTGTATCTCAAATTATCTGCAAACGCAGATTTGGGAGATGAAGAAAATAAAGGGGAAAAATGTTTGAAGAGAAAAGTAAATTACTACAGAGGGAAGGAAAGGCAAAATTTATAAGCAATTCCAAATGGAATTTAAGATTTTTGCAGTCTCCAGAGGGACAGTCTTTCAGTACATTTTAAACAATATTTAACAACTTCATGAGTGTGGTTTTGGTTTTGTTTAAGGTTTTTTTTTGGTTGGGTTTGTTTGTTTTTTTTTAAAGAGTCAGTAGCTCAGGTCGTGTGATCTTGCAAGGAGTCTTGTAACACAAGGTATGAAGTTTCTGGGGTCCAAAGGAGTTCTCCAAAGTGAAACGCATTTTATATATAAATTTTATTTCAAAAACTGTATGAAAAATGAACACAACAAACATGATTTTCCCTTCTGTTGAGGACTGCTTCCATTGTGTTGACAGTTAAATATGTTCTCAGTTGCAGAAATGCATGGTTTTTTGTCAGAAGTTATGTTGTACATATTTCAGGTTAAAATGTTGACTACAAAAGGTAGACAGAAGGGAGGATTACTAGGTGCTGTGGGACTACGAACAGCAGCAGTATGGATTTATGGCAGCTTAAAGAGATGGGGTTATTTTTGCCTTTGCTTCCTGGTATTTATTCCCGTTTTATCTGTTACAGTGGCACTTTCTTTTATCTGGTGCATGATGAATCAGATTAGGGAACTGATCTAGGAGAGGCTGTCTGACCCAGTTCACTGGTGAAAGGGAGCAGGGCAGAAGCAACTATATATGGAAGACACACAGTAGTGCTGTAGGTTTGTGCTGGATTGAATTTGTGAGACTTCACACCGTTGAGTCTTTTCTCCTGTAAGTATTGCTTCATCTACAGGAAAATCCATAAACTAGGGGAGGAATACAAATCTCATGTATTGGCAGTATTCCTGTGCACCTTTACTATATTTATTATTAATTAAACTGTGTGTTTCAGTTGTAAAGAACATTTCAGAAACATAATAGATCACACTAAACCTTTAGGACAAACTTGGTCCATCTGAAATACATCAGTATCAAGGTAGGAAAAAATTCTGTCAGATGGGTCAGTCTGTTGACAAAAGTGCATTTTAAATCACCCAGTGAAATTCAAAAACACATGATAGAGGTGAGTTATTTTACTTTCTGGTGTTTGTTGCAGGAGGAGATGAGAATTTTATGGTGTGTTTATGCGACGCTGCGAACATCAGGCAGTGTGAAAATGTTAAGGAACACAGGAAATTTCTTTTAGTAGGCTATGTATGCTTTCACATGTTCAATTGATGGGATAACCTACTTAAATCTTAGCTACTATTAACTATTTTTATCAGGTTTAAGTAAGTAAGACTCCAGTTGAATATTTATATATCTGTTTGATGCAACAAAAAAGCGCTGGTCTTACCAAAGCCAAGCACAGGTATTAACAGTTTTAGGATTTTTTTTTTTTTCTCCCAAAACGTGAGTGCTTTTTAAAAATAATACCAGTAATCTTCAAATGGAAATATGTTTGTATGGTGTCATTTGACATCACTCAGTACGGATGTAATAAAGAACTGTGTGTGGTATTCTTGCCAGCATTCTGTACCCAGCCCTTGCAGATTCATGCAAAATAATGTATTTTTTTTTTCATTAACAGCTCTACTGCTCTCTATGCCTTTGGTGGGAACATGTATTGTGTCAACAAAGTAAATGCTAATTAAATAGAATTATATATTGAGCATTTCATAATAAATAATGATAAGCATTTAAATAATATAATTTAATAGTATTTTTTAAGCATTAAAACAATGATCTTTTTTTTGAACAGTTGACCTATTTTCATCAATCCAACATCTGCTTCCATGGCAACATGATTTGAACCAGGAGCAGAATCATGAAGCTCCCTTCTTTTTCTTATGGATGGATGCTGACTGAGTGCAGCAAGTGCAGTTTTCAAACAAAGAAGTAGATGAATGTCCTTAAAACAGGAAACAATAAGCCCTTATTAACATAATTTTAAAATAGTTATATCCCATAGTGTCTTTAGTTCTTTAAGCTCTACCATAGACACATACTTCTGGTATGAACCACAGGGTGTTCCAAGCAAGCATCTGTGCTTGTGTGAAGCTGCTCCAGCTCACCTCTGACTGCTTACCCTGATTTGAACAAACTGAGGAAATTTCTCTGAAGAAATTTGATGAATAGTTGGAGGAGTGGGTTAAAATAAGGTGTAACTTTAATTCTGCAGTGCTTTTTGTTTGTTTGTTTGTTTTTCTTTGTTCCTAGTGACTATTTCTTTTTTATTTAGACTTTTATAAATTTGAAGAATGCAAGTTAAATCAGTTTCAGGACTACTCTGAAAGATGAGTCCAAGAAATCAGTTGTATGTGCAACTCTTAGTGGTGATTTTACTTTTAAATTTTTTAAACAGTACATGATTTGGGGGTGTTTTGAAGCAATGGCTGTAAAATACAGCTTAACATGAATGTATCCTAATCTCTAAAAGGAACTCGTTGTGTATCCAGCACTCCAGTGTATTATGCAGAGGTGTACTTGGCCTGGATGTTTTACGTCACATCGAGGCATTTGGTGATTAGCTTGGAAATGCTAAGTAATAATGAAGGGCACTCTTGATAGCTGTAGTATTAAATCTGACCTTAGAGTCTGCAAATATGATTTTGGGAAGAATGTAATCAGCTGTGCTATAGATGAAAATGAGGACCTTCGCGTAAGTACACGACTAGCATATTTGTAGTAAACATGGCTTAATAAACATTTGAGCTGTGTGGATTTGATTTCTTGGAGTCCTCATAAGGACATAAAATAGATCTTCATGAGCTTCATAAAAATACATATATGTATTTAAAAGTTAGTTCTGTAAGAGGTATGCACTGGAATATGGGAAGTAACCCGTTCTTAAGCTTTGTTTTTACTGGGTGAGGAGGAACTGACAGTCCGTTTATCAAAGGCTAGAAAGCAGGAATCATAGCTTGTTAACAAAGCTGAAAAGTTAGTGGTGTTATGTTTAAAAGTGATAGCTGATCCAAAATCAGAGCAGTTGAGAGTTTGCTTGGTACTTTGGCTTTTCGCTAATGTTCCATTTTTAATTAAGCGTACTTCTTCGCCAAAGGCCTCCTGCTGTACAATAGAAACTCTTCAAGCTTCTTCTGAGCGCTCTTAATGTAGTGGCCTCAACACTCGGTCAGCTCAGCAGCAAACTTGAGAGTTGTTTCTGAAATAATGTGCCAAAGAACCTGGGAGACACTACCAGACCCGAGCAGTTTGGATTCTAGTAGATGAGCAGGTATATTTATTGTTTGGTTCATCATACTTTAATTTCTACATAAACTTGGAAATTAGTAAGCATTGCGTCCTAAGTGCAGGTGAAGGCCTTTTGAATCCACTTCCTGAGGAAAAGCAATCTTAGGTGGCTTGTTACGTCAAAATTAAAGTATTTTCACTTTATTTTCTTTAAAAAAATCCTTAAACATTTTGCAACAGATTTCATTGCTATCTATTCCTGATAAAGCTGGGGGTTTCTTTCTTTCTTTTTTAAAAACCAGTACTAGTTGGCATATACTTTAGCAATGAGGTACATGACTGGCATTGCAGCGGGGTGCAACTGAGGCCTGGTTCTGCCTGGTACGATGTTCTGCATGTGTGGAGCAAACAGCTTTATTTGTGTGGAGCTCAAGAGGAGTTTGGGGTTTAGGAGATATGCAAAGTACACTTGCATATCGGCCAACTTTACATAGTAAAGAAATAAGGAAA